TGTGTAAAATTGTCCTATCTCATTTTCTTTTTAATATTTTTGTAGTTCTAATAATGGCAAGGCTAATATCTTTGAGCAAAAAGCTTTTATGTTTCTTTTAAGAAATTTCTTTAGTATAAATTCCCAGGAACTGCTGTAAAAATAGAATTATTGTGTGAATACTGACCAAATTTGAGAAACTTTTGCCATGTACTGGATGTACCCTGTCCTGATAGCCCCTAACATCATGGTTTAACTTTTATTGTTAGTGCTTATTATTTTGGTAAGTGGCCCCTCTCTTTCTTTCTTGCCCTTCTTCATCCACCTGCCTCTGCTGTGGGTGTGTGCCTGGTCAGGTGGAAGAGCATGTCAACCGTATCCGTGAGGAGCAGGACCGTGAGCGGGAAGAGTGCAACTACTTCCAGCTGGAGCGCGATAAGATCCACACATTCTGGGAGATCACGTGGAGGCAACTGGAGGAGAAGAAGACTGAGCTTCGAAACAAAGACTGGGAGATGGAGGAAGCTGAGGAGAGGCACCAGGTGGAGATCAAAGTGAGTAAGGCTGGCCTGCCTGTGCCCATTGGGCTCACCTGCAGCAACAGAGCAGCTGAACTAGGTGGTGGGGTAGGGACGTTTTCCCCTTGGCTTTGGGATCTAACTTTTTTATACTGGAAACCTGAAGGTGTCTTTTTCCTAAAAGAGCTTCACTTGAAGAGAAAGAAGCTTCATCCCTCCAGTGGCAGGAGAGGCTCTGCAGAGCCTGTATTTGAATCCCAGCCTCCATAGTGTGGAAGGAGCACAAGCTCTGGGGAAGGTTGACCTCCTTGCAGTTGGTGTTCCCTCTCGGCCCCATGTAAGCTGGCAGGTGTCTCACCACTGGCTGAGGTGGTGTCCTGTTCTGTGCCTCAGAGCACGAGTGAGCAGATGGCCTCCCCCATCCCATAGGTGTACAAGCAGAAGGTGAAGCACCCGCTGTAGGAGCACCAGAACAACCTGACAGAGATGAAAGCTGAGGGCACTGTCATGAAGCTGGCTCAGAAGGGGCACCGCTCGCAAGAGGGTGCTCTGCGCAAGGACATGAGAACATTGAAGGTGGAGTTGAAGGAGCAGGAACTGGCCAATGAGGTGGTGTGAAGAACCTGAGGCTGGTAGGTATGAGGAGCGGGCACCAGAGTGAAAAAGAATGCAGCCCAACAAACCATATTTCAGGGCTGAGTGCAGATTTCTGTCTTAAGCCCAGTCTACAGGTTGTCTTCTCCAAAGGAAAATCCAGCTCAGGATCTAATCCTAGTACTGCTAATCTCTGACACAAAGGGAACAGTATTGGCTGCTTTAGAGAACCAACCCTTATATGCCTGTGATCCAGTGACTGGGGAGACTGAGGTAGGAGGATCTCAAGTTCAAGGCCAATCTGGGCAACTTAGTGAGACCCTCAAAATAAAAGTAAATAAATAAAAAAAAGGACTGGGGATGTACATTAATGGTAGAGCATTCCTGGTTGCAATCTCCAGTCTGCAAAAAAAAAAAAAAAAAAAACCAGAAAAGAAAAAGAAAAATCAACATGTAAGATATCCTGGGCAGCAGTTCTTCAGTAACTGCTGGCCTTTGACTCTTGGGGTTTCCAGGTAGAGACTGAAATTCATTTGCTGAGTGTCCATTAGGTGTCAGGCCCTGATCACGATCTCTGTCAGAATGCCTTCCCAAGTGGGGCTAAATGTTCAGGAAAGAGAGAGTCAACACATAGGAGAGAAGACAAAATAAATGTGCCAAGTGCATACAGCAAAGCTGTTAGGGGTGAACATTATAGGAAGAGCAAAGTGGGGTGAGTGTAGGGAGCTAGAGTTGCAGGGAGGCTGCAGTTTTTATAAGAGTTCTAGCATTACCTCATTGAGAAGGTAACATTTGGGTAAAGGCTGGAAGGAGATAGATGTCTGGGCTGGGGGAATTCCATCCTAGAGAAGGGATGGGCCAGAGGGAAGACCCAGAGACTAGAGGAGCAAGGAGTAGAAAGGCTGGAGGGATGATCAGGGCTTGTTAGCCTGGAAAGCCCTGATGAGGATGGGGGCTTTGGTACAGGTCAGTAGGGAGCCCTCTGAGAATTGAGGAGAGGAAGGATGTGTCTGACTTTAGTTTTCAGTGGTTCTTCTGTGTGCTGGGTAGAGGGGCCTTCTTAACACATCTGCCTCATGCTGGGAGCAGCCCAGCTTCCACTGTAGGATGTAACTCAGTGGCATTGCAGGCTGTAGCAAAGCACAGGGAGCTGAGGGCCTCCAGAATTGCATGGTCTTTCCTGAGAACCACAGAGTGGCTGGTTTCAGATCAAGTCAGTGTGCTTAACCTGAAGTGTGGGTATGTGTTACGTGTTCAGAATGCTCCTTCATGTAAAAATACTGCCTTAAAAATAATTTAAGTTTGTAATTAAAAATTGTACTATATAATAAATTGTTTTAAAGAATATTTATTTATGGGCTGGGGATGTGGCTAAAGCAGTAGCGCACTTACCTGGCATCAGTGCGGCCCGGGTTCAATCCTCAGCACCATATACCAACAAAGATGTTGTATCCGCCAAAAAATAAAAAAAGTAAATTTTAAAAATTCTCTCTCTCTCTCTCTCTCTCTCTCTCTCTCTCTCTCTCTCTCTCTTCTCTCTCTCTTTCTCTCTCTTTAAAAAAAGATGCTTTAAAATATTTATTTATTTATTTCAATATACTAGTAATTGAATCCAGGGATGCTGTACCATTGAACTACATCCCAGACCTTGTTAGATTTTTTTTTTCTTTCAAGACAGGGTCTCACTAAGTTGCTCAGGATAGCCTTGAACTTGTGATTGTCCTACCTTAACCTCCTGAGTCACTGGGATTATAGGTGTGTGCCTCTGTGCCTGGCATAATAATTGTTTATGAAAATAATTTTTGAATGTTGCTCTGAGCAACAGTGAGGTGGGTTTGCAGGAGCTATTTGAGGCTCCTGGGAAGAGCTGTAGCTCTGTGTAGAAGTGGCTGTTCTCCAGCCTATGGGAAGGCACCAGGAGGAAACCAAGCTATCCAGTACTCAGATCTGTTATATCTTCCAGACTCAGAGGTGATCTTGCTCAGGGAGATGACTTATGAAATATGGAGATTACCAAAACCATGTTATTCTGGGCAGATTCCATGAACATAGAGGGGAGGGGAACCCAGCAACCAGTAGCATGAGCAGCATGGGGTTTACTGAGCTGAACTTTTCTTAGGGGGGAGGAACAGGGCTGGCCTGAAGGGTATGCACCCCTCTCTGCTTCACTGTCTAGTAACTTGCTATTCTTCACCTGCCAGAAACATGCTGAGGAGATCACCAAGATGCGGAATGACTTTGAGAGGCAAGTTCGAGGTCAGTTCCTAATATGCACATTGGTAAGATGGTGTCAGAGACCTACCTTCATCAGAAAGTAATTTGCCTCCAGAGCTTGTTAATTCAGAGCATGATAAGCAGATTAAAATAGCCCTCCCCCCCACACACAGGGAGAGAATGGACCCACTCAGAATCCCAGAACAACTATTTCTGTGTGTTTGGGAGGCTGTGGATACCTCACACTTCCCCACTCCTGTCTAAAATCAGTAGTTAACAGCAGGCATGAGTTATTCAGTCTTGTGGGCAGCATTTTTCAAATAGTCTTCTGACCTAGAAGCCTCAGATTTCAGAAGTCCATGAGGTTTACTGAGTAAGCCCTGTAGTCTGTGGCAAGGTGTTGAATGCCCATTGGGGTCAGCTGACAGTGTTGGGAGCCCCAGTGCAGGCATTGATATGCCTGTCACTGGAAAAGGAGGGCCAACAGTGGCCCTTGCGCTGAGTGTGTCCCCTTGAGCGTTAGCAGGAAAAGCTCACCTAAGCCTTTCCTGTTCTTTGGCAGAGCTTGTTTACACAACCTTTGTTCTGACCATCATGGCAGTTCTGGGGCCCTATTATCAGGTTTCATCTATTCTTGTAGCCACACGGCATTTGTTTTTCCTTTGTTAAGCTGCTGGATGTGCTGCTTCCTTTCAGAAATTGAGGCCAAGTATGATAAAAAGATGAAGGTGCTAAGGGATGAGCTTGACCTGGGGAGAAAGACTGAGATCCACAAGGTGGAGGAGAGGAAGAACGGCCAGATCAACACACTGATGTGGCATCATGAGGAGGCCTTCACTGACATCAAGAACTACTACAACGATATCACGTTCAACAACCTGGCCCTCATCAACTCCCTCAAGGTGCTCACCTGGGTTGGACTCTTTGCCTGTCCTTGTTGTGGGCTGCAGACTCCAGCTCTCACAGTCCCCTGGACCCAACACTGCTTTCTGTAAATGAACTGAACAGAGCCCCTCTGCTACCCTCAATTGAAATATGTAAGTAATGTAACTTATCTCCACCCATAATTGAGAATAAGCAGGCAAGGTGTAGTGGTGCATGTCTATAATCCTAGCTACTTGCGAGACTAAGGCAGGAAGATCACAAGTTTGAGGCCAGCCTGGACAATTTAGCAAGATCCTATATCAAAATAAAAAATAAAAAGAGCTGGGGATGTAGTACAGTGGTGGAGCACCCCTGGGTTCAATCACCAGCACCACAAATAAACAAACAAAATTCCAGTTTCCCTAACTACTGTGAAGCAGTAACAGGGTATTCTGAGACATCAACACCCAGGCACCATGCCATGGCTGCAGTGTGGCCAGAGTGGGCAGTTGTCATGGTCCCTCAGATGCTGGCAGTGGCAGGGTTTCCATGGTGAAGAGCAGCCCCGGTAGAGTCCTGAACAAAGTGCAGGCTCTCATTTTGTATGGAAGCTGCATTCCTAGAAAATTCAGAATAAGTTTAGACTTTGCAAAATACAGTTTATACACAAAGCAAGCCTAAGTCCCCAGCGTATGTGATACTGGAAGGACATGTGTGGTCAGGAGAGCACCCAGTCTCTGCTCCACAGGCTGAGCCCCTCCTGCACCTGCACCTGAGCCCATAGGAGCAGATGGAGGAAGAAGGAAGAACACCTGGAGAGGGAAATGGCAGAGATGTCTATGCAGAACAGGTGTCTGGCAGACCCTCTGAAAAAGGCACGGGAGGAGATGAATGAGATGCAGAGGAAGCTTGGGAAGTATGAGAGGGACAAGCAGATCCTGGTGGTGAGTTCCCTGCTGAGTTCCTCTTTGGCACATGCATTCCTGGCCTCAGGAAAGTGGGCACATCTGGGGGCATCTCCTGAAGGCGGGAAGGGAAAGGGAGGCTGGACTCTTTACTTCCATTGAGGGTGCTAAGAGAGATGAGGCCCTAGTCTTCCACTATCCTACCAGCCAGCCTAGGTGGGGCCCGGCTGTTGGAAGTTTTCCAGCCAATTGTTCCTGGAGATTATTTCTGGCCTTGCTGTATTCCAGAAGCTTGTGGTACATGGATACTTGTGAATCTGAATGCTTTCTGTCCCTACTCCCTGTATTCTCTCTAGAGCACAACAGCATGTTTGAAGGTTACTGAGAAAGAGCTGAAAGACCTGCAGTGGGAGCATGAGGTGCTGGAGCAGCGGTTCATCAAGGTTGGTGAGGCTTGAGGCCCTGGCTGTCTCTGGGACTGGGAGCTGGAGATTCTCTTGCCTACTTCTCAGTCCACTCAGCTTTTATGAGTCAAAAGACTATGGTGGTGTTGGTGTGTGACACTTGTCTGCAACTCTGGAGGCGGCTGAAACAGGTTCAGGTTAGCCTGGACAACTTAGTGAGACTGTGTAAGAATAAAAATAAGAAGGTCTGGGGATGTAGATCAATCATCTCCAGCACCACAGAATACAAAAAGAAAAACAAAAAGCCATCCTGGCATTGTACAAGGCCTGGGGCCTCAAGGGGAGTGCCTCCCTGTCCCTTCAGAAGCTGACTTTGCAGTACATGGAGGAGACCTGGCCCAGGCAGCAACTATTTCCCACTGCATGAGTGTGTTTCTGAGCATTAGCCTGTTACACGCTCGTTGTTCAGAAATACTGGGATCCTGAGGGTAAGTGAACCAGCTGCTCAGTGCTGTCCCCATAAGAGCGGATGGTTTTGTGAGCCACTTTCCAGGCTTCTTCCTGCATTTGTTAGCATAGATGTGGCTCTGTGGTTTACAAAGTGGGAGCATGTCAACAGCAACCTGCATTTTAATCTCACGGTTTGTCCAGGCTGCACACACACAGCAGCCTCATTCTTTGTGATAGCTGCATCTGCTAGTTTATAGTTCCCCTTGAGGAGCTGTTCTTTGTTTCCAGTCTTTTGTTCTTACTACATTGTTGTTGCAATTACCCTTTCCATTTCATTCTGCTCTGTGTGATCAGTTCTTGCAGTGGAGTGCTGGGTCAGAGGGGTCTGTGCTAGAATGCTGATGAGTCACTAAGAGGGCTGCTCTGGGTGATGCTCCTGACAGCACTGCCTGAGGGCCAATTCCTGCCTACTCTAGAGCTGATGAACTTCCTCCTTTGCTGATAGGATTGGGCAGACACTTCTCATGGATAGTGCAGGTATGATGTCTCTTGCAATGTTACTTCCTGCCTCTGTGGTTTGAACGTCTGGCCAAGGATCACCCTGCATCACAGGACCCTTATGCTGAGTCTGTGGCTCACATAGCTCAGCATTTCATCATAAGCCATAGTCACTAGAGAGTTCACAGATGCAGACCAATAATGAATTGGCCCCATCTCCCCATAGCAGACCTCTCAGGAGCCTCGCATCTGTGTCAGATCTTAGTTCACCTTCAGAGGTGCTGAGGGTTTCACAGGGTGTGGATCACTGGGCTATGCCACTGGCAGCCAATGACCTGCACAGACAGTCCCTTGACCCCTAGGCTTGTCTGAGTCCTGCTATTCCCTTCTTCCTTCCTGTGAATTTGGTGGCCAGCATTAATGGGAGGTACAGAGCAGAAACATGTCTGGGTTGCATCCTGTTCTCTGCTGCATCTTGCACATGAATATGGCTCATGATGTGTGCCAGTCAGTGTCTCAGAGAAGCAGGAATTCAGATTTGTTGGCAAAATCTAGAGTCTAATGATCCACAAGTTTCTGACAGGGAATTGAATATAGGCAGATCCATGGGACTCGGCACAGTAGTTGGGGAGGATATGGTATTCTCTGCTTGGAAGGCTGTAGGGTATGCTGCTATGTGGAAAGTTGCAATGATGTAGCATGATCCTCCTTTACTAACAGTGATGAGAACATTCTGGAAGGAGTCATACCAAATGATCACAGTTGTGGCCTCTGGGAATTGGGGTTAAACAAGTGTTTACTGGGGCTGGGGTTGTGGCTTAGCGGTAGAACGCTCACCTAGCATGTGCGAGGCCCTGGGTTCGATCCTCAGCACCACATAATAATAAATAAATAAAATGAAGGTCCATTAATAACCAAAAAATACCAAAAAAAAAGTGCTGGTGATGTGGCTCAGTGTTTAAGTAACCTTAGGTTCAATTCCTGGTACCAAAGAAAAAAAAAGAAATAGAAGGGGAGAAGAGACATTTTTACTTATTGGTTGACAGACTGCTGCTGCAAGGCTTGCTTTAGACCTGTCTTGTAGGACATATTAATGGCAAAGAATCAATATGTCAATATGTAGGAAACTCCAAGGGCTGTCCTGCAAATATTGCCTGCTTACAGATGGACAGGCTCTCACATGGGGGCAATCAGGGGTACATCTCCTCTGAGCCCACAGTCCTAACTCAGGCAAAGCTGGTCCTGACCCACCTATGGAGCAGATTTTAGAGTGGGGCTATTCCTGCTGTTAGCACACCCCATTACTTCTGCTGCTTCTGCCTCCTCCTCCTTTCTCTTCCCTCTCTTCCCCCTCCTTCCCCTTTTTTGACTCCTTTTTTTGCAGTCCTAGGGATTAAACTCAGGGTGCTCTACCACTGAGGCACATCCCTAACACTTTTTATTTTTATATTTTGAGACAGAGTCCTGTTAAGCTGCTGAGGCTGGCCTCAAATTTGTGAACCTCCTGCCTCAGCCTCTGGTTACAGGTGTGCACCACTGTGCCCAGCCCCATTGCTTCTTGAGGGGGTTCATGCTGCTATTTCTCTCTTGCATTCCTCTGTGTAGATAGTTGCATACCTTTAACTCTGCACAGAAGATGGGGTTTTAGGCAGTGGATGGCACATAGACCATGTATTTTAGGTGTGGTCACCAGTGTAAGTGAACTTTTGTAGTAACAGTATGCTCCACAAAGGGGCAGGGTAGGAGGTGGCTTCTCCCCAGTGAGATGTCCCAGTGGGGGACTTTGTTGCTCACCCCAGTCTCCTTGCAGGTACAGCAAGAGTGGGATGAGCTCTACCAGAAGTTCACTGCAGCCATCCAGGAAGTGCAGCAGAAGACAGGCTTCAAGAACCTGGTGCTGGAACGCAAGCTGCAGACACTGAATGCTGCCATGGAGAAGAGGGAGGAGCAGTTAAATGAGGTGCTGGCGGCCTCCAACCTGGACCCTCCAGCATTGACACTCGTGTCCCGCAAACTTGAGGTAGGCCCAGGGGATCCAGGGGCAGGGCTGGTGGCTGCCCCAACTCTTACCTACAGTGGGCAGCCTAGTCTCCTGTGGTGGGACCCTTTGGTCTTGCACTGTGCCTCCTGAGCCAGAGGCAACGTCAATTACCCACGGGGAGGGGGAGCGGGGCGGGTTTTCTGCAGGCGTCTGTGCCTCAGGCCTGCATGGGCCTGCAGTTTCCTTTAAGGGGTTTTGCTTATGTTGCTGTTGGCTCTTGCTTGACCCTCCTTAACCGCATGGCACCTCATAACTTCTGAGCCTTGCCATTCCAGTTCTCCTGTGGCTCATCATGATGCACCAAGTAGAACTGAGGATATTCTAGAAACAGAAAAGCTGCTCTGGGAATCTGCAGGACTGAGTCCCTCAGTCACTTGACAGTGGACTCAGAGACAGGCCTGGGGACAGCCTGGGAGTGGAAAAGCCAAGCTCAGCACCCATGCGCCTGTACTATAGGCAGCTCTTCTATGATGGCTCATCACAGTTTAAAACTCTAGGCCCAAAGAATGAGCTTTGTGTCTAGGCACCTCATCTCTATTTATGACACTCCATCCTGGTTTGCTTCACTGCCTGTCTCCCCTCCCATCCTGACCTGAGGCTGCATGCAATACTAGGCCTCACACTGAGCACCCCAAGCTGCCTAGGGAGCAAGAGACCCAGAACACCCAGGGTTTGTTGGAAACCCAGGACTAAGGGCAACTGCAGGCTGTCAGCTGTCAGTGTAGGGTTGGTCAGGAACCACAACTCTGTTCTGGGCACAGAGGCCTGATCACAGAGAGCCCCCTCTGCCTCAGATGAAGAATGCATGGCCAGAGATAGCAGATAATGTCAGTGCAAGACAAGGAACAGAGATCCAAGAGCTACTAAAGACCAGCTCCACAGGACTTATCCTGATTTAGGAGGGGCTGGGAGGATCCAAGGTGACAGGCTGTTTCTGGACAGGGAGACCGAGTGTTTACAGGAGAACAGCAGGGCCCTGGTTGTACCTGTGGGACCAGGATACTGGGAGAGGCCAGATCTTGGGCCTGGGGTGGTGTAACAACACAAAAGGGGAGGGACCATGTTGGGACTGGCAATAACCTGTCTCTGGGATTGGAGGCTCACCTGCAACATGGGTAGGTGTGAGAAGTGAAGTCCTGCTGTTTGGACACAGAAAAGGGACAGTTCCACCTCTGTGGATGGGTAAGCCTGAGATGGCAATGATAAGAATCAGTCCTGTCCACTACAATCAGGTGAATACTAACTAACTGTGGGTTACAGTTGGTACTAAATGTGGGTTAGCTCTTGTTTTCCCTGGTTATTCTTATCCCAATTTATAGCAAGTAGCCTTGCAGTGAAGTGACAGCCGTGCCCATAGGATCTCTCTTAAGAGAGGCGAGAGAGGGTTTGGGGAGCTTCTCTGAGCCAGGCTAGGTCCAACTCTTAGTCTGGCACCTTACAGCACTCCTCAGGTGGGAGCATCCCAAGGGGCTTGGGTCCTGCAGATCTGGGCCCATTATTTTTGGTTCAACACTTAAGGTTTTAAAAGTTACACAGACTACTCTTTGTGTTTAAAAATTGGATAATAATGCCACATGATTCAAGAAGTTTAAAAGTGTAAGTTTTTTTGTTTAGTGCCAGGCTGTTGCAAAGTGAGATCTTTGGTGTCCCTGGTAACCCATGTTTATTACTTACCATCAAGACAGTTTCTCCATGGGGTGTGGATGGCACCGGGACATACTCCGGTTCTCCCCTTCCTCCCATTCTGTTTTCTCTCAACTCGTGGGGACCTTCTCCTGCTGATATACCCTTGTCTAGATGCATACATATATTGAGCCAGGACTTTATTCCCTTATCTTCTTGGGACCCCCAAGGGAGCTCCCAGACCATCATCCACCTCCTTCACCTTGGCCAAAAGACCTGTCCTAAATTCACCTCTGCCTCTGTCCTCAGGATGTTCTGGAGCCAAAGAATAGTACCATCAAGGACCTGCAGTATGAGCTGGCCCGAGTCTGTAAGGTATGCACCTGCCTCCCTGCCTCCTCCCTTGGCTATGACCTGGCATCTGGCTTCAGCCTGTAGACAGTGTGACTGCTGACCATCTCTGAGGACCCATCCATTTCCCATTCACATGTCATTTGATGAGGCTGGTGGACCATCCCCATGTGAGGGGCAGACACGGCACGAGGTCATCTGTACCTGCCTAGGACTGAGCCGACTGCTCTGTCTGCAGAGGAATTCACCAAGAGCAGCTGCCCCACCAGTGCAACTCAGTTACACCCTTAACTCTGAGGGGTGGATATCACTTCTTGGTTCTGTTGTTTGGGGACAAGTCCAGATGTTTCTGTCATCCTGTTTCTTTAAGACCCCTGGGTGCAGGCACTGTCCTCCACAGTTCCCAGGTTCCATGGCACCCACATGATCCTGGTTTCCTGACCCTCCCAGCCCCTTGCCTGCTTTTTCTGCACATGCTGGTATTTGTCTGTGCAGAGCTAGGGCCATTTGCTGTGAACCTCAAGGGTCTACACCCCAGTTCTCTCTAGAGCCTATCTTTGCCCACACTGGAGTCATTTCTGAGCCATAGTGAGGACAGCTGCCCTTTTGAGCATTTGCAGAGTCAGGCCAGGCCTGAAGCATTTCACATATATCAATTCATTGAGCTTTTAAAACCACCCAGTGAAATATGAACCCTTCTAAAAATGTGCACTTTCTACAGTTGGAAGCAGGCACCTCTGGCATGGTAGCTGTGTTAGGCCCACCAGCATTGTCTCCCAGGCCTTGTCTCTTGGGACAGATCAGGGGTGACCAGGACTCTTCTCCAGGAAGGCCCTGCCCCTGGTGAAGATGCAGAGTTCCTAGGAGATGCAGGGTGCTGTGCCCATGGGAGCAGAGAATAGAGGCCATTGACAAGGGTAGGAGGGAACAGTGGCCCTCACTGAGACATGCTTGCTGAGGAGCTGGGGGGCACACTCAGGCCACAGTTCTGCTGAGTTCCTCCCTTTGCCTCAGCATACCTTCACGTGTTAACACAGCTGCAGCTGTGTTAGCACGGGGCTGGCCTAAAGTGACCACTAACAGATGCTGGCCCTGCCCTCTATGGAGTAGGGGTCAGCTCTGGGTGGGTCAACTCCTTGTTCCTCCCTGACACTGCCTTGTTCCCACAGGCTCATAATGACCTCCTGCGCACATACGAGGCAAAGCTGCTGGCCTTTGAAATCCCTCTGGACAATGTGGGCTTCAAGCCTCTGGAGGCAGCGGTGATTGGGCAGACGCTGGGTCAGGGCCCTGTAGGACTTGTGGGTACCCTAACCTAGCTACATGCTTGGGGCTGCAGCCAACAGAACTGATTAGGGACACTCCCTAGGTGACCCCCTCTTTCCAGGCAGTAAGTTTTTAAATTTTAGATTATCATCAGTGAATGAAAATTTTTCCACATTTCCTTTGTGTCCTCTTGCTGGGCTCTGTAGGGGAGAACCACCTGCAGGAGAATCTCCTTCCCTGGGGCATGCCCAGCTTGTGCCACACTACACCTGAGTCCTCCAACTTCAGCAGCACTTTCTCTGACAGCCCCCTTGTTCACCTGGGGGCCAAGGTGGCAGAGATCTAGCCACCCATAAATTGCTCCTGTCCCAAAGATGGGAGCAGTTCTGCAGATGCAGCGCTGTCATTAGAGACCTGAGTGATTCATAGCCGCCCACAGGAAGTACTTCTGCAGATGTAGCACTGATTTTATTGACCCAAGTCATAGCTACCCACTGAGAAACTCCAGAGGGGGGCCAGAACCTCCCCAAGGAAGTGGGTGACCACTGAGTGTGGCTGGGCAGGCATCCCAGCCAGAGCAAGGATAGGTAAATAGCTCCTCCAGCCAGGCTGGGCTCTAGCTACCTCTGTAGGTGGTGTAGGACCACGGGCTCAGCAGCAGAGGCACATGGAACTTCTGGGTCTCCTTTGTGATGGTGAAAAAAACCTGAGAGAAGCAGAGAAAGCACCAGAAGACAGTGAGGGACCACAACCCGGGAGCTACCTGACCCCATGACTCCCTGGGAAAGCAGCCCAAATGGTGGGGCAGGGTCAGCTAGAGCCAAGTGGTGGACTGCAACCTCCCTGAGGGCTGAGGATGGGCAGAAATCCTCCTCTGGGCATGCTGGATGTGGAAAAGGCCAGATGATTGGAGAGAGGGGGAGCAGTCAGAGAAGGCCCAGGAGTTGGAGGGGGGCAGATGAAAAACTGTCTATGAAGAGGAGATGAGTCACCCACAGCCTGCCTCCCCCAAGCCTGACTGGGACAGTTCATGGATGGGCATATCAACACGGAGTCTCATGACACCCGAGGTCCTAGGGTCCCCTTTCTTGTGGGAGCTCAAAGCAGGCAAGCTCAGGTGCCTGCCACCTCCCTGAGAGAGGTGGGACCAGTCTGTCCTTGAGGCCAGGCCGAAGACCTGGCCTGCAGGTCAGTGAGTCAGGGTCTCCAACCTCTCCATCCCCCATGGCAATCATCTCTATGTATGGATAGAAGCTCTCCTGCCCCCTCTCATTCCAGTAGCCCTGGGTTTCAAAGGACAGCTTATAGGTGCCAGGCTTCATCTGGCCTGTCCTCAGGAGCCCAGGGCAGCAGCCATCTAGGTCTGTGTAGCTGGGGAGAGGATGGGCTGAGATCAGATGCAGAGCCAGCTTCCCTCAGCCCTCCTGGGTCAGACCCCCGTGGGGGTCAGACACTCCACAGCCTGACTCAGACATGGCTGAGCAGGTAGTGGGGCAATTGTAGGGACGCTGCTACACTGCGTATTTAGGAAATCAACACAGAAGCAAAAAGGGAAAACTTCTTCCATAGTCTACCACTTTGTATTTGACATATGTTTCTAGATTTTATTCTATGTTTATATGTTTGTTTACACGTTTTGTTTTGTTTTGTTTTCAAATGCACCATAGATTATGATTCATGAAGTTTTCTGTGTTTTTAATATAGTTTACTGATCATGGCTTTCTGGGTCAATAACAATACATCTATGTGGTGGCCTGTTTCCAACTGGATGGAAGGTTCATGTTGAGCAGGCTGATCCCTCATGGAGTGTTTTGAAGGCCTGCACTTTTGCCTTATCACCTCTAATTTCCCCACATTCTACATACCAGCTGGACCTAAAGAGTGTCCCACAGCATTTAGGAAGGGAACTGCAAGTATGGCGTGCATGGTTCCCTCTAACCCTGCAGTAGCTCCTGGCCAGAGCTTTTCACAAGATATTTCTCAGAAATATTCATTTTCTTGACATCCATATTTATTTCTTGCCGAAGTCTGGCTTGGCACAAATCAGGAGCCACTTGTCAAAAAGAAACTAACTTTATTTTTAGAACTACAAACGTCAAACAAAACAGCTCCTCAGGG